TTAAACAGTTTTCTCCCTCCTCTGTTTCAGTGCAGTATACATTATTGAACCCATCTTACTCAGTCTCTCCCCAACAGTGGCATCATGTAATATTTGTCCTTTTGTGACTGGGATATTTCACTCAGCATAATGTTCTCCAGAGTCAACCATTTTGAATAATATTGCATGAGTTCCTTGTTTTTTAATGCAGCATAGTATTCCATTGTCCTTTGCTTTTTTGTATTTTACTGTCAGAGCAGATCAGGTGTAGACAATACATCCAACATCCATGAGTGTCTTGGCCATCTTCCAAAACCTCAGTATTAACAAATTCTTTGCATTGCCAAAGTCTGTTGGCTAAAGTTTCCTAGTTTGTTGTCCGTTGCCTGTGAGGTGTACCTTTCCCTTGGAGTGAGTAGAGACTGAAAACCCCGTTTGCTTTCCCTGACCACTTAGAGCCTTGGACCGAAGACTGGTTCTCACAGATTGTGCCCGAGGAAGGCTTTAGTGTATTTGGGAAAAACTGCCTTCGTAAATGTTTCATATCCGGGAAGTTTCAAGGTTCATCTGTCACTCCACCTGACACAAACAAACCAGCATGAAAATCAACAAATTAGGATTCCCCCTCCCCCCAAAAAAAGCTAAATTTTTTGACATTGTTTACATTCACATGGTCTGTCACTGTTGACCCACATGTCTGATGTCAGCTAACACTTGCAATGATGTGTGGTCTGTGGCATTGCTCATTCTGTCTGCCCCGCATTGCTGTCCCGTGGGCACTCACCCTCCTGCCTGTCTCCAAGGCTGTACAATGGTACAGGAATAGACGGCCCTTCTTTTTTACTGTGGATCATCTGGTGCATTTGAGCAACCAGAAAAATAGCCTTTAGGGTTTGCAATGCAACTACTTCTGACCATTCTCACAACTCTGCTGATTGCTACCCAGAAAGAACTGACTCCTAGGTGATCCTGCATCTTCTCTCTGGGGCTGTCAGTGCACAGGAGGAGACTGTCTCCTAGGTGATCCTGCATCTTCTCTCGGGAGCAGTCAGTGCACGGGAAGACACTTCCCATTACACTCCTGTGGACCCCCTGGTGGATTTGAACCAGCTCCGGTGCCATCCTCAGATCAGCACACCCGCTCTCTCCCATGCTCCCCCACCACAGCTCCCACTGTAGTCCTTAGAGAAAACCCTTTGAAATCCACATGACAGGCCTCTTCATCCCTACAAGGATCCTTGCTGACAACATGAACCTGCCTAAAGGTGATAAAAGTTGCTTGTGGATTTAAACATAGTCTAGACTTTGTGAGAAAAACGTCCTATTTCTCAAAAATGTTACATAAACAATTGTCCCGTTAAACAGTAGTAATTCACCATTCAATTGGTAACGTAAACATTTTACAATCACGTTCCACGTGGTGATCCTCTTCAGTCGGCTTCCCTAAAAATTTAAGGTATTATTTTTAGGATGTAAGAACATGAATCCTAAATCTTTGTCATACAACAACAGATATGTTATAAAAAATATGTGTGGCTTTTTTTCCTTGTGTACCATTGAGTGGTATAAAACTGGCACAGGAAGAGATTGGCCCTCCTTTTCCAGCAGAGCATCTAGTGGATTCAAACTCGGAGCCCTCAGGATAGCAGTGCAACTTGTTGCTATGAGAGCTCCCTAGTTTTATATTCTTTTGATTTATTAAGATATATCATACATATTATATGTCATATGCGTTTATTTCCTAGGTTAACTAGTACTGTGCTTTATAGTTGAGGGATCCCAAAGAATATATCTCTGGATACTTATAGCAGTTCATATATGATCACCAAATCCAGTGACATGAGTTTGATGACAACTAATTGTGAAGTACCTTTGAGTAGAGTATTCCCCTGAGCATGAACAGTCCTCTCCCCTGGTCTCTGCTACTCATTCCTGTTCATCTGGTGACACTCTTGAGCCCAGTGCTGCCGTCACTGTGACATGTCATTAAATAGCTTCCTCCTTTTCACTGATAATTCTTCCTTTCGTCTCATGATGTCACTTCGGAAGGAACAGCCTCCTAGCTGCATGCCAAAATCATGAGAAACACAGCTTAGCCATCTAAGACGGGCCCTATAGGAAAGACAGATGGTGATGTTCCAGAAGGGTCCATCGTGGTAACCAGTTACAGAAGCCGACTCTCACCAGTTTTTCTTCTTACAAAAATGTCTGTTGGTTTGAATCTTTAATTTTCCAGGTACCAGCCAAATCTTTAACCACCTGGCCAACCCCATTCTTTTTTTTTTCCAACCCCATTATTTTTTTGTTTTTAATTTTTTTTTTTTATTATTTGCGTGTGTATGTGTGTGTGTGTGTACCGTCAAATCAGATCTGACTGGTACAGGAGGAGGTTGTCCCTCCTTCCCCGGCAGAGCATCTGGTGGATTTGTCCAACCCCATTCTTAAGTGGAATATCCTGTCCCATTTGGTTGATTCAATAATCTCTTCCTTCCTTCCTAATCCTTCAAAACTCGGGGTGGCTGGTTACCCCTTGTTGGTCCCCAAGAAGATTCAACCACAGAACCTCTGTCTCCCACAGAGCTTCTGATGTCTGTCTGTTATGCCTCTTGGCAAAATTGTCAGGAATTGTCTGCTGGCACAAACAATGAACTTCAACAACCAGTACCTTAAAAGTCATAAGTTCATGTCCTCTCAGGAAAACCATACACAGAAACTCAGATGGTCTCCTTCTGATGATTCAGACCCCGAAATACACTAGGGAGTAGTAAGTAATTGCATGAAATAGGGTATCCTAGACGACCCAGAGTTGTTGATTAGGACAAGGAAAAAGATGGGGACACCAAGAATGAAATATTTTTTTATTATTATTTTTGTGCGTGTGTTTGTGTACCGTCGAATTGGATCTGACTGGTACAGGAGGAGGAGAGTGTTCCTCCTTCCCTTGCGGAGCATCTGATGTATTAGAACTGTGGGCCTCTGGGATTGCAGTGCAGCTTCTTGCCACTAGGCCACCAGAGCTCCCCTTAGAATGAAATCTTAAAGATGGTATAAGCAGGGAGTAAGAGCTCAAAGACTGCAGCCCAGAGCTGCAACCTCCGCTAGCTTTTATGAGAAATCGTAGGAAGGAAATCACAGAAACAATTCTATCCTCATGAAGCTATGGTTTTCTCCGCTGACATCCTTTTCTTATCTCAGGAAGAGAGTGATTTATAAAGCAAAAGCTTTAACATCCCATCTATGGGGAGTTTAAGGATGCTGTCTCTGTGTCTGCAAGGAGTGCGTCTGTCCTTGTGATCTTTCAGGTAATTTCTCGCTACTTGTTTTGTGCCTCACGTCAGGTCTTCGCACTGGACATAAGGCCAAGGACTGAAGGAAGGGGCCATACAGAAAGAAAGCAAGCTAAAAAAGCTTTATTAAGGGGGCTCCCTAACGGGGGTGGGGGAGTGGGGGGGAGAGAAGAGAGAGAACAGGGAGGGAGGGAGGGATGGAGAGAAACAGAAAGGGAGAGAGGGAGGGAGAAGGAGAGAGAAGAGAAGGGCACTCCATTGTAGTTGAGGCTGTTCATTCCCTTTGTTGACATGATAATTTTCCCTGAATCCTTTACTCTCCCTTTGACATTGGTCTGGACCTGACACCTCACTCAGTTCCTGTTTAAGCATTTGGCTTGTGACAACCCATCAGATATTAATGTCTGTTTTCCAGTTGGAGGTGGTGAATCTTTGAAAGAGAACTGAAGAAACCACGTAGAGGTACAGAAAAGGTAGTTGTGTTGAGGGCTCAGATGGGATCCCATACAAGTCCTATAGAGGATTTTCTTAGCTGTCATCTTCAGATTGACAGAGCCCATAGGTGCATTTCATCAACCAACTCTGAATTTAGCAGCGATGTCTCCTGGTGATTTCCACTGTTATCCCAAGGGGAACAATGGTGGCCTTTCAAAAGCACCAGGAGCTTCCACTGAAAAGTGTGACATTGACCTAGCCATTTCAGATCTTGAAGGAGATGGACATTCCACTCTGAGTTGGTTTGGGCATGAAGGCAATGAACTTTGATCCTAGCACTCCACAGTTAAAACAATTAACATCTGTACCACCAGAACATCTTATTTAAGCTATTTTCTTCATGAACGACATAGTAAGTTCCAGGTGTGATGTATATTCATCGTTGGCAAATTGGTTCCAAATCCCCATGTATCACCAATCAGGTCTCCAGGATTTTAAAACAAATGTCCTGAAACTGCCCATCTTTCTCCCATGAACAAGAGGTGGATTCCTGGAAATGGCAATGGCCTGTATAGTCAGCTGCATAACACCCTATGGACTAAGCAGAGGAGGGATTGATCTCCACATCACCCCCTAATCCTTACTGCCCACGTATGTCATGGGTTTAAGGACCTCTTGTCCTTTGAGTGGCTCCTCCACCCCCAGCTCTGTCTACAGATCCCGTGATCTCTGCTTTGTGATCTGACTTGACCCAGAGAAGGCGACACACAGCCTCCTGTCCTGAGCGCCAGTGCTCTGCTCCCACGATCACAGGGTCTGACCTTGAACGTGTGACTTATAATCCCTGTAGATCTGAGAGCTCTGCTTTCCTGGAGACCTGGATGCCCAGATGACAGCGCTTCAGGTCTCCCAGTCACACGCATCTGCACAATTGAAACAGCCTCAAAGGGCTGCGGATAGAAGGCTGGTTCTCTCCTCAGTTTTGTCATCTACATTTCAGTCCTGGCACCTTTAAAAAATAAAAAAAAAAACAAAACCCACTCACGTGAGGGTCACCTGTTTTTTCCGTTTTGACTAGAGGACAAAGGGCGGAGAGGAAATAAAGCAGCTTGGATTCTAAACTCCAGGGTAAGAACCAAAGCTCAGCGTCGGGTATGTGGTCGTCGTTTCTGCCCGGAGGTATTTTTGTGAGACACTCTCCAGCTCTAACCGGAAGTTGATATGTGCCGCGCAGCTGCGGCTGCTGCGTTTCTAGGGCGGCTGTTGGGGCGGAATTTTCCTTTGTCTCCGTCACTTTAGGCCGAACAGGTGACGGCTAGTGCCCCTCCCGAGTCCGAGGCGGCGGCTCCCACCATCCGATCGTGTCCGGTGTGTCCCGGGGTTCCCTCTCCTCCGGGAGCCGCCGCTTCCCGCCATTCCGGCCGCAGCGGCCTCCACTGCCCAGTGTCCCGAGCTGCCGAGCGTGTGTCCCCCGGGCCGGAGGTGAATATGCGCGGAGGACCAGGGTGGGGGTCAGTCCCCGGGGGTCGGGAGGTGAGTGTGCACAGAGGACCAGGGTGGTGGTCAGTCCCCGGGGGGTCGGGAGGTGAGTGTGCGCGGAGGACCAGGGTGGTGGTCAGTCCCCGAGGGTCGGGAGGTGAGAGTGCGCGGAGGACCAGGGTGGTGGTCAGTCCCCGAGGGTCGGGAGGTGAGAGTGGGCGGAGGACCAGGGTGGTGGTCAGTGTCCCGGGGTCAGGAGGTGAGTGTGCGCGGAGGACCAGGGTGGTGGTCAGTCCCCGGGGGGTCGGGAGGTGAGTGTG